GAATTAAATGCTACGAAGTTGTTTTTTAAAAATCTGTTATTAATACGGAAATGGAAAAATGCTTAAATAATATTAAATGAAAAAGACCAGACGCAGAATAGTGTAGGAAAGGTAAAAGTTCTTTTGCATTTTAAAAGATGACAAGGAGAAATAATATATATATGCACAGAAAAATTCTAGGAAGCTACTCAAAAAACTATTAATAGTGATTGTCTCTGCAGAGTCCAAATGGGAGGAGGAGGAGAGTTGGGAAGGTGACTTTTTAAAAAACTATTTGAATTTTTCTTTAGTATCTGAATTTTTCCCATGCACATGTATAACTCAGACAATTTTTTTAATGAACTCCACAAAAGATCATGTCTACTAAGGCACACTGAACAATAAAGACACAAACCTCAAAGTAGTTTTTTCAAACATTTACTGAACACAACACCATTTTTTCCTTTTACACAGCAAGATTGTTAGTTTAAAATTAGCTGAGCTATTAGGACTGTCAAATGCCATGAAATTAAAAATGATTCTACATGTCAAACTCAAATAGAAAATGCCATGCAATATATAAATCACTAATAGACCTCTGATGCAGTCAGCAAGTTTACTATGTTTATTAAAGTCACATAAATGGTTTGACAAAAGTGCACAACAGAATGACATCACTGGTTTGTTATAAATCACAGTGAATTACTAGAATACAGCAATGTAGTTCCTCTACACGGAGGACTGCAGGATGGGGTGAGTATTATAAAGGACAGGATCTTTTTCAACAGATTAGGCCAGTCGGATTTTACTCCCCAACTATGTACCTCTGAAAAGATTGGTTAGGAAAGCTGAGTGTTTTTCCTCATCTTTTCTCCTCTACCAGTTACTAAGCAACAACAAAAAAAGCCATGCACAAATTTTACAACACCTGATAAAAAAATTTGATACAAAACCTTGTTCACTTCATCACTTGGCAAGCTTGCATCTTCGCTCCTTCATTTTTCTGATTAGGCCATTCATCATATGACTCACCCCTAGATAAAAAGCTGTTAATAATTTAGCAATACTCGCCCCTGCACACACATCAAGATACACTCCCCATAACCATCAAGTCACTGTCCCTTCCCTATACATTAACACAAAGGCACACACCACAAACCTAGGACTAGAGACATTTACTTTACAGTTTAAAAATTAATGTATCACCACTGTCAGTGTAGTACTTAGTTCAGATCCCACATTTGGGGCAGGGGACACTACTGTACAACCCAGCCCATATGAAGGTTTGGGCAAGTCTGCCAGAAATGTATGAGAAAGCCCCGCAATGTGACACACATAATAGGAGCTTTCCACTTTCAAGAGATGATATCCAGAACAAAGCTATGTATTTTCATAGTAGGAATGAACACACAGCTTAAAATCTTCTGGACTAAAAATTTTTCATAGAGCAAAAGGCAGACTTTTGTTTTCTTTAACCCCTTGTAATGTTTGTTTTAGTATAGTCAGTGAGAAAACAGAATAGTCATCTGTGCATTGACACATCTGGCTAGCCTGAAAAGGAACATTTAAGATTTTTACAGAAAATCTACCATAAAAATAAGTCCTTTATACTTTCACCCATCTACTCACTAGTTCAACCACTGACTGACTGCTTCTAAACCAGCAAACTGTAATCCAAGGTCTGGCAACTTACCCCTCACCCCACCCCATTCCAAAAAAAGAAATGCTTCTGCTTGAACAATCTAAAGTGATCTTATCCATAAAGTAGCCGCCTCAACTATCATGGAAACTCTTAACAGGGTGTTGCTCCCTTGACATTGTAATTTTCAAAACACTTATCAAATACAGAGTTGGTATTTAGGGAGCTGCTGCCCCCAAATCGTATTTTACTTCAAACAATGCTATCATACCTAAGTTCCCACAGTTACCAATTATTAATCAACCATTAGTATAATGAAATAGAACCCTTCTCTGAAACAAGCAAGACCAAAGCTTGCGGATGGTCTGCTTTTTGGTTTGTTTGTTTATTTAAAGTTCCCACAGCAAAGAACCTTAAGGTAGTTGGGCTGTGGCCTACTAGAGCAATCCACAGTGGACTACATTGTCAGTGTCAGTTCTTATGTGAAAATGTTCCCCCTCCTTCATCAGTTGAGGGGATGGATTTGCTGCCCATCCTTTGAGTTAAATAGTTACCTAAACTCAAGAGTTTAGCTTAACCAACTCTATAGAGAGCATAAAACCCACTTAAGTTTCACATGATTTACAAATGAAAACACCCACCTGGGCCTCTAGTTCTTCCAGATATATAGATTTATTTATATATGACAATTACTGAGCAGGACAGAGAAGTTCTGATTGAATTTGTAATGCTATCAAGGAAGAGTTACAAGTCAAAGCGTAAGTATACCAATAATAAATATTAAATGACAAAAATGGCTGCAAAATGCAGACAGCCTAGAGTTCTCAGAGGGCTAAGATAC